AAAGAGATTATCATGTGTCCTATATATCTCAGTCGATCAGGAGATATAGTGGAATTGTTTGACATGAGCAACAAACGAAGCGATGAATTTTATCTGAGCGCTTATCTTGACCTATAGATCTCTATCGAACTTCACTCACTCACAATTAGTTGCATTCGTTGTTGATCTGTGCTCTGATACATTCTGATCTTATCAGATGTCGCAAATTCGATGGCTTATCCCATCGATAGTAGGGGATAGAATGGACTGATTTTGCTTGCAACTGATTTTGAATTATTCATTGTGAAATGATCGTTGATTTTGATAGCATTTATTTATTGTTATGAGATTGATATGTATAAGACAAATATAATATGAGAATACAAATGCGCATAATAAATGGAAATTCACTTAAGCAGCATAAATCATTTGTGACAAATAAAGCAATGAAACTTATCTGTTGATCACGCATGGCACCTTAACAATTCCGAACTTCATGTGAATGCATGAAGTTATAAGTGCGCATGTACAACTTGGATGAATATTAGAAGAATATTCATGTGATAACGACTGATAATTCAAACAAACGATGATGGCGCAATGATAATGATAATGATAGTGCTAATCACTGATGACAAAGATATTGATAAACAGATCATCAATTCCTCATCAATATTCCTCGTCATTCGGATCAAATGAATCTACACCCACTTCTTCGTAGTCTTTCTCCAACGCTGCCATATCTTCTCGAGCCTCAGAGAATTCTCCTTCTTCCATACCTTCACCGACGTACCTTCAAATATATCAGAGCACTAATTGATAATACTGATACTGAGTTATAAAGTTGAGATATACTAAGTTACTGAGTTATACTAAGTTATAAATGCTACAGTCATAATACGGTCAATGCTACAGCCTTTGAAGGCTCGATAAGTGATAACGATAAGTGATGCATAAAGCTAACCAATGCACAAAAGCCCTTTTGGCGTACATCAAATCGAACTTGTGATCCAAACGAGCCCATGCCTCGGCAATTGCCGTCGTATTCGACAGCATACAAACGGCTCGTTGCAATTTGGCCAGATCACCGCCTGGCACCACCGTTGGAGGTTGGTAGTTTATACCGACTTTGAAGCCTGTTGGACACCTGAATTGCAGTGTTGTTACAGTTATTCCGATAATTGCCATTAAAAGATGTGCCATTCTCATTGCTATTATATCTGTGAGTTTTAGTGGTAACAGATGAACGTTAAAATCATTGTTCGAACAAAATATTGTTGAGGAATTATTAATTTTTCTCTTTTTGTGTCCTCTATTGGTACCACGCGATTTTTTGGATTCATTTCGGAAATCTGTGTTCTCTTCGCATCATTTTCATCGATTTTCATTGCATTTCTCATCCTTTCCGCACGATTTTTATCTTATCCTCCTATTTTATTCACTATTCATATAAATGAGAAATGTCAAAGATTAGTGCTAGATTAAATGGTATGTACTAACAATGAGCGTTATTATCAAGCGTTAATCATGAACTTTGAATACAATATTTCGATACTCTAAGGCTTCAAACACTTTATGAATATTATTATTGCCATTATTCGATTGCTATTGATTATGAATATCATTATTACTATCATTTCAATTAGTAACATTACTGGTATTGCTGTTATAACTGTCATTTTACGTAAACCAAACCTTAATCGGGGAGTGTGTCGAATAAATTTATGATAATACATGATTTCACTTACCAGTCAACGAATTGTATCGCACGTTTGGTCTTAATCGTTGCAATCGCTGAATTAACATCCTGAAAAGAGCAAAAATTTCACTGAATCTTTTATCAGGGATCAGGATGGATGTGTATGACTCTGGATGAGAGCTAGGGCGTTTGGAGCCGAGATTGGATTATGGCTGAAAACATAAGATCTCAATGCTCAGTCTCGTGATTTGAGGTCAAGTTGTTGCAGTGCAGATCAGAACCTGCTATAAATGACATATGATCAATTCAAAAAGAGATGCAGGTCAATTGTTCGACCAATCAATCAACAATCAAGTATAACGCTCATATTGTGAATTGAAGCTAATTGAAGTAGTTCGAAACTAACTTTTGGTACCACATCACCACGGAAGAGTAAGCAGCAAGCCATATATTTGCCATTTCTAGGGTCACATTTAACCATTTGACTGCCCGGTTCAAAGCATTTGTTTGTTATCTCAGCAACTGATAATTGCTCATGATAGGCTTTTTCGCTGTAATCATACGCTTATTCGTTACGACATGATTCACTGCGGTGCTGTCATTCATTAAAACCATCTAGTTATCATAGAAATCAACTTGAATTAATGTGAAACTAACAGAAAACATATATTTTATCCGAATGTGAGCTTCAGATTAGAGAAATTATATTTTTGAGAAGAAAACACAAACGCTGTTCGCATAAACCCGTGAAATATCGTTGACAAACTTACGCAGAAATAATGGGTGAGTATGTGACCAATGGGAAATGAATTCTAGGATACGGCACCAGATTTGTTTGAAATTCGGTCAGATCTACATTCAGAGCGCCATCGAAACGCAACGACGCTGTGATTGAGCTGACGATCTGCGCGATCAAACGATTCAAGTTTGTATACGTTGGACTGAAAATTCCGTCAATGTGTTGAATTATGAAAGTTGCAAGTGAAACGCTGGAATTGCACATGAGTAGCGTATTGCTAAGCCTCACACCATCATGCCTCATATCGTAATTTACTTTCACAACAACAAATGATACTTTCCCACTGTAACACTAGTGAATTTTTTCATGCATCGAACTGTAATCATGAAATTATTCAGGACAATTGCAAACTCGTTGATTCAGTGTACTTTAGAACATAGACTCTTATGATTGATGCTATCAGCATGCTTGATAGTTTCGAAAGATCAGCAGAAAACGAACGACTCGAAACCTTTTAATATCCAGATTTCGACGACAAATCTCGTAAATCGCTTCATTGTCCACCATGAAAGAACAATCCGAATGCTCCAATGTTGTGTGGGTTGTCAATATTGAATTGTACGGTTCAACCATTGCTGCAACATGTTCATTGATTCAACTCCACATAAAATTAACGATTAGCTAACTGTTGCTTGAGCGTGAACATAGCTGCTATACCAATTTCATTGATGATTACAGTGATTATAACAGTGATAAAGATAACAGTAGCTGATAAAAGCTGATAAAAAGCTGATCGAGCTGATAAAAGCTGATCGAGCTGATAAAAAAATCAGCACTAAGAATTGGACCTGTGCTAATTTGTGGTGCGGGATAGATGCTGAACTCGAGTTTTGCCTTTTTACCGTAATCAACCGATAGTCTTTCCATAATCAGCGATGCGAAACCACTTCCAGTTCCACCACCAAACGAATGGAATAACAAAAATCCTTGAAGTCCGTTACATCGTTCAGTTAGTCCTTCAAATTCGAGCAAAATTACGGCTTTTCATCCCTCAGATCATCTTCATACTCAATACAACACTCTAATATTTGTAAAAAACTAGATTCAGTTGAAGAAATGGTACTCTGAAGCTATTAAAGCGTTTTTACCGAAGCTTTCAGCTGGATTCTGTGTGATTCTTTCAGTTCTTTCATGTATATGATATTGTGATATAGTGTATGAAATATATGATAAATATGAAATAATTCATTTCATATGAAAATGTGATATAATATTTGCTCAATAGATCAGTTTCATTCCAGTGCAATTTCGAGTCTGGATCACTAACTTCTAATGCGGTCAATACAAACGTCGATCAACTCTTTGCCAATCGTGTAGTGACCTCTGGCATAGTTATTGGCTGCATCTTCTTTGCCGGAAATCAGCTGTTCCGGATGAAATAGATTCTTGTACGTTCCGGTACGGACCTCATCTACAATCAATGATGATTTGCACTAGTTCTATCATCATTATTAATATTTCATCTCATCAACACTACATCACACAATCGCACTACCTACCTATCACAGTGGGCTCCAGATCGACGAAAACCGCTCTTGGAACGTGTTTTCCTGAAAAGAAATGAATATTAACAGCTTGATTATGCTTCCAGTGATTTCTCTCCTAGATCAGTACTGATCCTGATTCTCAATCAATAACGATTTCAGCCAATGTACTTTTTCAAACGGCAGAAAGTTTGTGACTATTCGAGCACATTCTGAAGGAATGAATTCATGCAATCTTCAATTCATGCAATTTCCAAATTCACATCAATTAAAACAATTCAAGAAATTTGCCGAACTTGAGATTCGCTTGCAGTCTCAAATTAAATATCACTTGCCGGATTGAATCAGTCAACAAAACCTGAATGAGTCTCAGAGAAGAACGTATTGTATGAGCCGTCCTCAACACCGAGTGTTTGATCTGCAGGCATGATTCCATCCGGTTGTATGCCATGCTCTAGGCAGTACAGTTCCCAGCATGCGTTCCCAATCTGCACACCAGCTTGTCCAACATGCAAACTGACCACTTCACGCTTAAACTGAATCTCATACAACTGGAGCAATGACTATTTTGTGAACCCAAACGTATCGGCTTCTTCAATTCATTGGCTGATCAACTCTCATCGTATGGGTTCGTATTTGAAGCTGACAAAAAGAAACGCAAATGTATTCGAGTACACATCTCAAGGTATCATGAAAACTAACCATTTTACCAGACTGAGCCATCCTTGCGAATCCCTATTCTTCAAATATTTCAGAAACTTCAAATGAAAATCCGTCAGCTACGTGGAACTTACTAGATTAGAAACGAGATTTGCAAAAGTAGGAATACAATGCAGCTGTAGAGTAGACTAGTGATGCGGATAAATGGGAATATGTGAATGTATCCGGTTAAATGCGAGTGAGTGTATTCTCGATGAGTTAATTAGAGGTGTTTGTATCATTTGTGCACAGGTGTGATTCGCTGTTACATCAGTAACGCTTCCATAGACGTCCGTCCGTCCGTTACTATGGATATGAGGAGCAATAAAAAACAACGTGTTGTCGCCAGCATAACGATACTTAAACAATAGTTGTATTAATGATATTCTCATGCATTTGTGCCTTGTTCGATGTGAAATTAGCATTGCACACATCGCAAAATGTCTGAACGATAAGGTTTTTGAAGTAGTAATGAGATAGCAGGGAGACTGAAATCAGTATGCTTGAACAATGCCATAGGGAAACTACTACATCTCCTGAAGTAAGCAAAATCGCTCGACAACAAATGCACATATCTGAAAGCAGAGAATCTGGGCAATCTAATGATGTGAAGAAATATCCATGTTACTCACCTCAAAACCGTTTAGAGCATCTCATAGTTCTGTAGTTCTGTTTAGCACTGAATAGAACTCGCACAGTTCTCTTCAATGCAGAAGAGAGCTTGCATAGTTCTCACTAGCA